TTTTAAATACATAATAGGGTCTAAAAACTGCTTTAGCAAATAAGCTTAGTTTTCGAAAAATGAAGCTTGAATAAGCATCCAACATGTGTTCTGTGGAGTATAAAAGTGGTTACATAATTTAAGCAAGTAATAATGTGTGACTATATTATATAAATGTCACATGTGTCAGGGTCAATGTCAAAGTCAGTTTTATTTTTGATCTCTGAGTGCCCTTGTCCCGTAATCTAAACCCACATGGATTGTTATTGTTGATGCAATAAAAAAAATAATAAAACCTTATTTAGTACAAATCGGCTAAAAACTTTCAGCTAAAATTGTGAAGAACTTGCAGTATCAAAACAATAGAAAATATTATTATAATCTGCTCAGCGGTACTTTGATTTTTTCACACGCACTTGGCCTATTATAAGTGTGGCCGTGGAAGGAAAAGGGCAGATTTCCCGCTGGGCAAGGTGTTCTGGCCGGGGAGCGGCCAACACTCCATGTGATAGTTCGGAGATGTTCTATATATACTGTTTATGATTCGGAATTTTGATGTGTTTCGCTTGCGGTGCGATGACAGCGCCGCCACATCGCCCCCCTGCTCAGACTCGAAGTCGATAGTGCAGCCTCGTTGCCGACGAATGTGCAAGTGCCAGTGGGTTTGCCTAGTAGTCTGCGGTGGGCCAAGAAGAAGGCAAGTAATCTGCGAGATTACCGTGAAGCAGAGGCGAGTAGTAAGGCTCAGAGCCGTGCCGAACACTGTATAGCGCAGAGAGTATCTTGAAGGAACAGGAAGCATTATTATTCCAGTGCTGCGATGAACCTTATCAAGCTAGATGGCTTGCAGGATACGAAGACTGCAGACGATATCTGCTCGGGAGCGAATGGGTGGGGTGTGGGGTATTTCATGACGATGATGAAGCTTGAAGATTTTGAAGTTCCTCCCCGGTCGTCGGTCGGTCCTAAACTACTTAACCGCTTTTAATTAAATTTGCACACCGTGTGCAGTTTGGTCCAACTTGAGATATAGAATAGTTTTTTTTTGCCCATGAGTGAACCACAATTTTTTTGCTAATTTAAGGATTTTTAATAGGACACGACAAAGGGTCGTCGAAAAGGGCAGAACAACGTCTGCCTGGCAAGCTAGTTTAGCACTAAAAATTACAGTTAACAATCTCATTGGCCAATTTGAACCTGGGTAACACGCGTACTGCTGCTGACTTTACGACATGCGGTTATCATATACCGTTTACCTACAGTAAGGTGTCAGACGGACTTCAATGGTAACTCAAATTAACCTTCCGAAAGGTTGTTGCCGATTTACATATCAAATTAAATGTTTTTCGAGCGTTAGTTTTCAATACCCTTTAATTGGTTCACGTTACGAATTTCAATCGAAACCTTTGCTCTTCGCAAATTGTATTCAATTATGGATACTTCCTCGAAGGATACAATACTACTAAAGAAAACGTAAATTTAATGCTAGATTTTTTTTAATTAAAGTAAATATGAACTTTCATACCTATACATTACTCAGACATGCTGAGCCGATTTACTTCACCGCCGAGCACGTGGTAAATCGGCATCAAAAACTGGAACTAGGAATTTCATCGCTGCCGGCGGGGATCAAACGCGCGTTGCTTGCGAAATATGAAATTTACAACGATTTAGGTCAGCTCTATACTTCACATGTCATAAATTTTACAATGTTTTCTTCATCAATGTATTTTACTGCACAGGCCACGTTTTAGTGGTTCAGGCATTGTGCTTTCGATTGGCATACTATTTACATTTTACAAATATTTTTTTATACGTGGTAGAGCTGTGCTGCATCTATACTGGATGAATCCTTTTAACCGTTTGGAAAAAAATAGTGTGTAACATGTGAACGGAGTAGCTATGGCACTGATATTTTACAAAAAATAAAAACAAAAATTTTGAATTAAATATAAATAAATTATTTAAAGTATCGAAATTCAAATCATATCCTCCCTACTTTACGAACGGCAATAAAACAATACATTTAGTAGGCATCTTTGACTTTGTCACTTCGCAGGGTCACAAGCTCAAGGGCAAAAGGACTAAGTAATTGTTCAATTTTTTTTCAAACGTTTTTAAAATACGTAATTAAACCAAATAAGTACGGGATTCGGTAATAAGTAGGTTTTGGTTAAATTGCAATTTTAAATTGCGTTTAATGCACACCTATCCAGAAAATTTTTTTTTCTCCAATTCTGAGCAAAGTTAGATACCTCAGGGACTATAATATTATACACACATCATACAGCTTGCAAATATGATTAATAGAATAAAGAATGAATTGATATATTGTACCACCGCGCTTTGACCTCGAGTGAGTTATGGTTGTAGTGCCGCGGTCTTTGTGCTGGACCCGGGGATTAAATCGAAAGATTTTCTAGCTTAATACCCATTCCTAACCCTTCAGAACTTTCCCCTCATACTCTAAAATTTAAAGTCGGTATCGCAATAATTTGATTGCGAAATCTGAATCCGCGTGATAACGCCTAAAACGGAACTAGATTTCAAGTTCTTACAGCTACTTCTTCGACCAGCGTCAGTTGGCTCATATTTCCCGCATTCTCGACTTACCTTTCCAATTTAGGCGTTTACGGTTTCCAACAAAAATTTCTTTCGCCATCACCATCAAAAAATCCCAAGGCCATACTTACAAATATATTGGACTTGACTTAAAGAAGTTTCACTCACTGTCTATTTTAGATGTTGGTCTCTCTAGGTTAGGAAATTCAATCAATTTATATTAAAGCCACAGAAAATGGATCAAAAATGTGGTATATAAAGAAGTTTTAAAAAATATGTCTACTAAGCTAAATCTGAAATATTATACCTGTATAAATTATTCAATCCGTGTAAAGGCCGGGGCGGGCTGCTATAATAAATCAAGAAAAGCCTTTACAGTTTTGTTAAGGGGAGATAATGAAGATAATGATGTCTTTCAAGCAGTTGTTAGACCACAGCGACAAATTTAGCTAAGACGTAATGTTTGCTTGTAATTATTAACTATACCGGTTCTCCACACCCTTCAAATTCGTAACAGGGTAGTACCAACCCAAATGCTAATTAGTTAATGGAAATGCTAAACAGAAAAGGAGTCCTACCATTCAGTAAAACGTTTAATATAAAACTTATATTATACTCATGATAGATTGATCTTCCCTTCTAAAATCATTTTTGTACCAACGTCTTTTAGAGGTAATTATTTGACATCCTTTCTTCGGTGGAAATTAATAATTTTCGGAGACAATTTTTTTTAAATACCGTAAATACAAATCAAAAAAACCAAGCCATAAATATTTAAAACTACATGCTCATAACACACCAAACATATATTTTCCTGATCGTTCTTAATTGTTCAATGTACACATAAGGTTTTATTATGAGTGTAGTAAGATTTACTCATTCAACACAAGCTTTCTAAAGAGCTAATATTAGCTTTATTCTAAGATACATTTTACTATTACCGTTATAGCCTATTATAGTCCACTGCTGAACATAGGCTTCCCCCATCCCCCCCGAACGGGTTCCCGCCTTGTCGTGGCGGGGGGGCTTAGTAACCGTGGCTTGGTCTCCCACGGTGAACAAAGAGGAACCCACGTGGCTGGCCCGAGGTGAAGGGCCGGCCTGAGGTGGCCACTCCGAGTGGGCTTGGGGAGCCCACTTCGGATGTGTGCTGGTGGACTGCAGCGAGTGGGGACTCCGCACCCTCTACCGCTGCAGCCGAGGTGGAGTCGCGGAGGAAGAGGAGTGTTGGTATGGCGATGCGCCACTCGCCCCATCCGCCGCGACTCAAACGGGGCCGCACCGTTGATGCGGTGGTGATGGGGCTGCGGGGGGAGAGGATTGTCGGTATTGCGAGGCGCCGCTCTTCCTATCCTCCGCAGCCGAATCTTGGTTGGCGGCGGAGCCATAGACCAGATCCGCCGCTGGGGTCGGGAAGGCTAGTACTTCTAAGTGCTCGTTTTTCCTAGCCCCATGGCCTTCGCGCATCGGACGCGGGGGCGTCTGTTGCGCAGATGCAATTGGAGGCCGTGGAGGAAGGCGTGCCATGTGTTCTGGTGCGCCTTACTTGGGAAGGAGAACGGGGAGGAATATTCCTCTCTCGAGGAGGTGCTGCCATGGGGCGGCAGTCGCTGGTAGAGCCCCGGAAGTGTGCGAAAGCGTTCCCGTAGCCCTGCCAATATGCGACGAAGGTGGAACACCATGGGGTTTTAGTCGGTGCGAGTCCCATAGGTTGCCTCATAAGGGGGATATAATAATCAATCTAGATCAATCTTATGTGTCTTAGAATATTCGTCCACAAATTCAAAAAAGAATAAAAAATGTTAATTTCAAAATAAACTTATGTTGGGGAATGCAGGACAATAACAGGTCAATTTATTAACATTGTGACTTTTCAAAGACAAGAATCATTGTTCGTGATATTACAAAAATAGTTGTAAAGTTTCCGTCATGCCACCGCGTCATGACTTTACCTTATCGTTTTCTGCTTAAATATAATTAGCATTATGAATTCAACATGAACCGCACACAACAGTTTATGTCCGTAGTTACATACATAGTATGTAAACTCTGTTGCCAACATTTTTAAATAATTTAAATCTGAAAAAGCGTAGTGTAGTTAATCGGTAAAAAAACAAAACAGGTATGTGCCCAACAGACAGGCGAATATAGGCTGTAACTTGCTATTTTGTTTGCCTCTTAAGACACCTACTTAATATGATCTTATATAATCATCATTTTCAATTGTTCTTTGCAAAATCCTGATTTAATATACAACTGTTACAAGAACAGGCTGGAACTGCTGATAAATAAAAACGACTGCGCTACGCTTATCAGTTGCACAAAACACACACAGATACTCTTCACTTCATACGTAAGTGAACATGGTCAGTGACAGTGAGACACGCGAGATCGACGCAGGTGCATATTTATCGTGTTTCGTGTGGGAAATTTGATTTAGCAAATAATTTTAGTATAAAATGGAGTGGAGCAATTCGAAATCCGGTACGCCCAGTTTTTTAAATAATGTTAATACAAATACTTACACTCAGCTTATGATGTATAAAACTGTATTTTATGGCTTGCAAGGTACTACCTACCGGTACGGTTTTTTTTCGTTCAAAAACCCGTTGTTAGTCTTGATTATACTTTGTAAAAGAGGACAAATTCAATGTCATAATTTGTGTTTATATTGGCATAAGTGATTAGGAGATTACCTTCAATTATAATAAAAAACATGTAGTTAAATAAATTCTATAGATAGATTTAAATATGTCACTGTAAGACGAATAGAACATTGAACTTAAACAAAAACATTCTATAAAATTAAGCCAACTAAAACACTGATAATTTGTATGCTAACTGAACTTGTAATTATTAGTATACCTAAGTTTATATACGATTTTATGCGATTATAAGTAAGAGTTTTACACTAAATACATAAGATGAAATTTTATTTTTGTAAAATGTATAATCGGTTCACAGATTAAATATTGTTACTATGTAATGGTTTGGTATAATGTGATGGTTTTTTTGACAGTGATAATATTGTTGCAGTGATAATTTTGGATAAATACCGAATTGAATGCTTATCACCGGCTACGTTAGAAGGCGCATTACGAGTAATAGTTATTTTTTATCTATAAAAACTAATTTTATGTAGCACCAATAATCACACTAATTAATTTAAACCTAACAGTCAAATCCTTCATTCCAATTGAAAAAAAAATGTTAATACAAAACATATCTTAATTTTTCAGGTAATAAAGGAATCTTTTTGCCAAGACGAATACGTGAGCATAGGAAGCGAAGTAAACAAAAACCCGGTCGCCGCTGAAGAATTGCTGGAACTATGTGCGGATGCAGCGCTTGATGGGATGTCATTAGTTGCGGTTGAATTAAGTACTGAGGAAGTAGTTGCTGTTGCCTTTAACAAAATACAGGTAATTAAGTTCTAGTCTAAGCATTATGTTTTTTCGTGAAAATACTTGAGAAAGGAAATAATTTTAAATTTACATATTTATTGTATTTCATAATTTCTTTTAAATACTATTCATTATAATGAACAATAATTGGAGCTGAATGTCTTATATGTAATGAGACAAAAAAATAGCTAGGATGAAAAAAATTACGTAAAACCGTATTCTTCATTGGGTTAACTAATTTTGTTAATGCAATCATTTCTCAGGTTTAGTCGCAAAAAAGACTGCACAGTGGGTATGGTCAGTATACCCTTGAAATATTTAAATTTTTCTGACATATTTTTCTCAAGATGGTTCCGGCGTATACGTAGTACTAGTAGGTACTTAAATTTGTAACTGATAATTTTATTAATACATAAAGAACGCAACAGGGTGGATGTAGGTGGCTTGGGACCAGGCTTTGTGGTGGGTCTTGGGGGAGGTCTATGTCTAGCAGTGGACTTGTGTAAAGCTGTAATGATGATGATGTTGATGAAAGAACGCAACTACAGCGATGGATAAGGATCCGTGAGCTCGAAGTCCTGCGCTGTTAATATTGTTTTACCTACGTCAGTATATATAATTTCGTTCTGCTGTTTTTAAATGCGTTTTTCGACATCAAGCGGTGTAAGAGTTTCATTTTTGTGAAGAAATTCACTTTTATATAAAAAATGACGCACTTGCACTTGTAATCGGTGGATAAGCTTCATTTTCGCATCACAAATGAACTTACAGCTTAGCTGATGGTGAGTGGCCACTGCATTTCAAGGACACCAGCAGCCAATTACAAGTAAAGAGGACTACATATACTCAGTCGTCCCTGAGGACTAAGATAAAATGCCTCACTACCCGTAATTATACTAGCTTCCTAAACATTTGTTAGAAAGGGCACTGCGTTCAGTAAAGGATGAAATTTGGCAAAATTATTTCATACTTCTCTTTACGTTGACCGGTAGCACTGTGGTTATTTTATTAAAATATATTTTCATATTTAAAACCTTAGGTACATTAACTCATATGTTTCCATTACACGCCACAAATACCAATCGTATTATAATTAAATTAAATAAATAAACACTTGTAACAAGTCCACATGCTGCCAACATTGTTCGGTTACCTATCATTATAAACTAGTATATTATTTCATTACATACATCCAGCATGTATTACCAGGTTATGACTCCATCACGTGGTGGGCAACCCTACACTTAATGTACCGGTAAAACCTAGGCGATGGGCCTAGGTTTTACCGGTACATTAAGCATCTTCCTGATAACAACTGAATAATAATAAAAAAATATTTTGGCAACCCGCATGCCAAGCCTGAAAATTGCGGCAAATATACAAACATAATAACAATATATGTATTGGCAACAAAATTAATTGAAAATTCTTAAAATGTATTTGTAAGGCGAATTGACAAATAGACGAATTCTGAAAATATTGTGCAATATGTATGTGATGTATTTTTCTTTGTTTGTAAAAGGTTCAATCGTCGAGCGTATCGGAGAAACCGTTTTTTGAAGTATTTGCCGAAGAACGATGTACACAGGAATCATCCCGCTCTCTAATCCAATTTATGGCAATCGTAGATGGAAGGTGCAATTTATTTGAAAAGTATGTTTCACTCGTTATAGGTAGTATATATTTTGTCACAGAATTTTGAAAATCGAACATCACTCGCACCGAACTGCGACTAATGTTCATTTCATCATAGTCCTAAACACATATTAGTTTATCAATGTTAAGAAACGAATTTCCGTTTTGTCATGTTTTGGCTTCTGCTCCAAGTGCTAAAATTGAGTTAAAATCCTGATTTAATAAAAAAAATTGCAACATTTATATCATAAATTGTTATAATAACAGGCAAAATGTTTAACAAAACAACTTCTGGGTTATTATTTTAATTATATTACTTATTTACAGATACGGAGTCGACTGCAGTCTTGAAATAATGTTCTTAGCAACGCTACGTGAGCATAGAAAACAAAACTTAGGAACCTTGTTATGCAAATATTCCGTAGAGCTAGCCAGAAAATTAAAAGATTGCCCTATAGCAAAGATTACAGTTGAAGATCTAGGTCCTAAGTACAAAATGATAAAATCAAGAGAACCCGTTAAGACTTATCCAAAAATTTGTCAAGCTATTTGGACATCAATTGGTTCTCAGAAAATTGGTAAAGCTCTAGACTTTACCGTGCATTTGACTGTACCGCTTAAAGAATTTGTGTATGATGGTAAAACATATACTGAACGTATTGGAGATGATTCCGCTTTTTGTGAAGTAGTTGCTAAAGCACTTTATTAGAAAGAATGAAGCCGGAATATTTATTTATATCATTTAATAACCAACAATTTTTTTTATTAATTTATTTATTTGTTCACATAAATGACATGTTTGTACAACATAAATGGCTTATCTTTGTCACAGCAAAAATAGTTTTGAATCACATGTTTTAAATTTTTTAACTAAAAGTGCTTTGTGCGGGTTATGTGCGTAAAACCCTCTCTATTTTCAATAAATATTACGACCGGTACCTCTTTATTTAATATCCTTGTAATAAAGAAGTAGTCGAGACAAGTTAAGTACACGGCATGCAGTCGATTCTGAGAAAAATAGCTCGGACGTTTGTACGTTAAGCGCTAAGTCGACCGCGCCTTGGGCGATACGCACGTTTAAATCTAATATAGAAATATAATATATAATTGATTTTTCATTATCAATTGATCATTCGATAACACCCATTGTCAGATGGATTTGGCCAGAATGCCAAGCGTGGACGATTGCAGGTGTACGTTGGCGATAAGGATATCACTTATAATTTTAAGGATATAAAGGTTGTTGTACTGCGATTTCGACGGCTTATGGGTCATTCCACTTGTTGTTCCTTACGACACGAGATAAAATGCAGAGATGAATCCTCTTATGCCGCTACTCCACGGGAAATGTTTTATTACAAGTATACAGAATCTTCAAAACTACAACACCGTCTTAATAATAAATATACGTTACAAAGATAACTTAATACCATAATCTTATGAAATGTGAGAATATAATTGCTAAGAATCAGAAGTATAATATTAATTGCGTACATGTGCTATCGCAAAACGAAAACTTTAGTTTATTTTTTTTTAATAAAACACATGTTACACTTTTTAATGTTTAGGTAACGTGTTCGTATTTAAAGGCGGCGTTTGTGAATCCACTATCCCACACCCATGTAGAAAATATCCCTGCTATGAGGTATTCTACGGGGGAGGCAAGTTTAGCTGTGAATTAATGAATGAAACGTAAAAAAAAACAACCTTCAAAATAAAATGTAGAGAAGTCTACATTTTAACTTTAACAAACCAAAAATTACGATGCTATCGTTGGCAGCTACGTTTTACTCCCATTCAAAATATTTGCAAAAGGATGCTGTGTAGACGCATAAATCCTGGTAAAGTGCTAAGATTTTAATGGCGGTTGGGCTTTGTTGTTCTAAAAACATTAGAAAAAAGTGGGAGTGTTAAACTGACTTATTTGGAAATAGATAAAAATATCACGTAAAATCTATCTCAGGCAGCACTGTGTTTGTGATTTTGATGTGATAGACGCAAAAAATCTGTATCTAAGGTGCAAGATTTGAGAGCAAGCTTATAAAAACAAACCTCATACATTTGCTTCATTTATACTAACATTTCTTTTACTTCAATCCAGAAAAAACCCAAGAAATAGTTTTCGTGTTATCTACATTAGTGAAGTTGGTTTAATGGGCATGAAGTATATTTTTATTTTATTTCTATTCACCAGTCGTTTGGCAAACAGAAAAACTAAGAATACCATTAACCCTTAAAAGAGTACAAAAGTAATTTCTTGTTCGAGCATCGAGTATCGAAACACTGCAATTAACAAAATAAATCAAATAGATATAGACGAACATAAACAATTTTTATTTAATTTTCTTTCACTATAAAATGATAGAAGTCATTGAAAAAATAATCTAGGCATAAATAGTAAAAAATGAGTTTAAAATATAAAATACGTTAAAAATTATGACGATTACGTATTGTGATCCAGATATTTTTCATGTAGCACCACGAGTTGTTCCTGTCGGTCAAATCTTTCTCTTGTTCAACGGTAGATACAAATTGGGTTGACTGATTGTATGAAGGCACTACCATACGACAAGTGTGATACTATTGATGGGTATCTTCTATTTTATATCCATCATAGTCTATCTGTCAGCCCGTAAAACTCCATTTTTAGATTTAAGTCTCTTCAACAGTATAGAAGATGTGGCAACGATTAGCTATCACTGTGATAGCCAATGGGCTAGACAGTAGTAGTTTTTTTTATTATTTTGAGTTAGTTGTAGTGTTAGTGTAGTAGAGTTGGTAGAGCCATGCTGCAGTTATATTAGTAGTATAGTTATAGCACGAATGGGTCGGCTCGACCGGGGAAGGACCACGCTCTCACAGAATACCAGCGTGAAATAGTAGCTTAATGCTGCTGTATTTCGTATGGTGAGTGTAGAGAACCGGAGACCCTTTTTACTGGAAACGAGGCATTCCATCTCAGTCCTCACGGGTGACAACGCATCTGCATTTTGATTTTTAATGGAGGATAGATGTAGATGTCTATGGGCCGCAGCAACCACTTACAATCAGGTGGACTGTGTGCTCGTTTGTCACCCTATTCTATATAAAAAAAAAAAATATCGTCAGGAAGATTCTGCGGCCCAACTCCTCTTTCAGTTTCCCTGTATCGCCTCTTGCGATATCCACGGGATGATGATGTGAGGGGTGGTTTCTATTACGCCGACAGTACACGGCGAACAATTTAACGACGCTAAAAATTTGGGTAACATTGAATTTCAAACATAAATTCATTTAAGGAGTTAGTCAATGATATTGTGACCAACTACATAACAAATAGCAACTATTGACAATTACAAAGAGACGAATAAAACTTATTAAATAGATATCTGCAAAATTTAATTTACAAAGCTGAATTTAAAAAGTACCATTTTTTTTAATGAAATTAATAATAAATTAAATGTTTGTTTCTGGAATATGTTGAAAAATTAGGATATTAATTTAGCTATTAACAAAATATACTCCAAGATTACTTTAAAATTTTGGACCATAAACAACTTTGATGATTTAATGTTTAAATCACATTCGTGTTGCTTTAGATAATACAATTCTTATAACTGAATCCGCAACAAATCTGCAGCACATGGTTTAAGGACTTAATTAAGTAAACTCGAGTTTGGCTTAAAATGAATATGGGTAACACCAAAAGTGATAGTAATTACAGATCTTTCACAAAATCCCATTATGTTGGACGGACAGATTTTGGAGCAAGTGGAATAATACTTTTACTTATTACAAGTGTGGGTTTGTTAGTGCATCTTAATTCGAAGATCAGTAATTTAATAAAGCTTGGCAGGGTGGCTTTTGGGAACCAAAAGTTTGTACTCTAATCAGGATTCTTCAACCTTTAACCTTTTGAGCGCCACGCCAAAAACGCATTGCCGTGATCTGTACGCCAAAGCGAAAAGTAAACAAAAATACCTACGAAAAATATAGTATTGCCAAGAGTTGATATATCGATAACATAAAATAACTTGTTTTTGTTTATATCACTACTTTTTCAAATTAAAACACCGCTCAATTTAAAATTTTCTTCATATTTTATTTGTTGAGAAACGTCACATTCTTTTTTCTATATTTGTCATAAAAATTTACTACTACTACTACTACTAAATAAAAACTCTTGCAACTTGTGGCGCCAACTATTGTTCATTATAAAAACTAAATTTAATCGTCTAAACATTCCGGCGCCCAAGGACTAACAGTCCTTAAAAAATACAAGGAAATTAAGAAGTTCTTAAAAACAATATACAATTTTATTATACTAAGACTAATTTAAATCTGAGGGAAGAGGACAGATTTTTGTGATAGGTCTTTTGAAAATATTATTCTTAAATTGCAATGTAATAATTATAGTTAAACCATCTTTCCCTGGATGTTATCTAAAATACGTCCTAATAGCCATTTTCTTGGAGGAAGCCTTTCATCCTTAACTAAAAAGACAGTACCAATTTCTGGTTCCTCATTTCGATTTGACCATTTGTAACGATGCTGTAGAGTTGTAAGGTATTCTGAACTCCAACGAGTAGTTCACAAATTTTGTAACATCCGTTGAAGTAGTTACCATCGACTTAGATAAGATAATTTAACAGTTTCAAGGTTTTCCTCAGGGATCGTGATAGGTGCTTCACCAATCAAAAAATGTCTGAGTGTAATAGTAGAAGCGTCTTCAGCTGAAGTACTTACAGGAGTTAATGGTCGTGAATTTACACAAGATTCTACTTGAGCCAAAAAAGTGGCATACTCTTCAAAAGTTAAAAGTGTCTGTCCAATAACACGTTTTAAGTGACCTTAAACGGACTTTACACCAGCTTCCCATAATCCGCCAAAGTGGGGAGAACCTGGTGGGATAAAATGCCAGTTCGTGTTGTCATTAGCTAAAAGCTGAGCGATTTCTCCTACTACAGTAGACTTTCTATTTTTAAACATAGAATCAAGTTCTTTAGAGGCACCAATAAAGTTTGTAGCACAGTCCCTCCACAAATCACTGCAATGCAATGCAATGCAAAAATCCACGACGGAAATTAAATCGTCGAAAAGCTGCGATAAAGGCAGCAGAGGATAAGTCACTCACTAATTCGAGGTGGATAGCCTTCGTGACTGTGCAAACAAATAGACATATATAAGCTTTACAAGTTTTTTTTACATCTGCCAGGGTATAATTTTAAAATAACTGGGCCAGCGTAATCCACCCCACTACAGCGGAAAGGTTTAACTGGAGTAATACAGGGAGAAGGTAGTTGACCCATCAATTGGCTAATCGGTGCAGTAGAATGTTTAAAGCAAGTGAGACATTGTCGAATAAGTTTTTTAATCAATTTTTTTTCCCCGATTATCCAATACTTGTTACGAACGATATTTAGTGTAAGTTGAGGACCTCCGTGTAATGCTTGAATATGTGAATCTCTAATAATTAAAGTTGTTAAATTACATTTAGATGATAACAATATAGGAATTTTAGCATCATCACAAATTTGCCGAGGATTCTGATACTAGCTGAGATAGCAAAGGGAGTGCCTTCAAACTGAGGAGATACGACGAAGGGGTTCTATTTAGCGGTTAACGGTAAAACGGTGTGTCTTCTGGGGATTGAATTGGACTAGATTTAGTCGCCCCCAAACTGAGACTTTGTATAGCAAAGGCTCGACTTCAGACACAAGTTTGTCCCGG